GAGGGTTCGTCGCAAGGTTTAGGGGTATAGGGTTTAGGGCTTTTGAGTTTAGGGTTTAGAGGGGTTTAGGGCTTAGGTTTTGTCATGGTCACAGGAAAGCAGGGTCGCAATGGATTCCAAAACTCTTCTATGGGTATGCAACGCCTGTTCTAGGTTTTAGCATCAATCAGCGGCACAAGCCCCGAGACTCAGCATTCATCCGCTGCAACAGCATGATGAAGCAGAGATCAGGTTCGCTTGAAGGTCTTTGGGTTGTCGCACAAATAGGCTTAGGTTTTAGGGTTTAGGGTTTAGGGTTTAGGGTTTAGGTTTTAGGGTTTAGGGTTTAGGGTTTGGGTTTTAGGGTTTAGGTTTTAGGGTTTAGGTTCTAGGGTTCAGGCTTTGGGGTTAGGGTGTCTATAGTTACGTTGCGGACCGCGAGGGGATCTACACACCAAGGTGTCCTTCGTGGCAGGGGGTCCTACATTACAAGGGCCCGGCTGTCCAGGCTAGGGCCCTTCGGTCTATGTTGCATTGAACCTGCATAACCCAATAAATGCAGCCTGCATGGATACTTATCTGCCTTGTTTAGTAAAAGAGTAGCTGAAATTTCTGATGGTACACCTGACAGCAGCAGCAGCAGCAACCACAGTTTGTAACGGTCATGGCAACCGTGGGAGCAAGTGTAGTGGTCATGAATGTGACCAAGCAGCTTGCCGGAAGCTAAACCACTCAAGCCAAAGTTCCGACTAATATAAGGGCCTTACTAAGTAGAATAGGGTTTAGGGGCCCATTATACCGTAATTATAAAAAGGAACCCCCCCAAAATAGTACAGGCAATTATTAAGGCTCCTATGTTACCCCATCGTCTTAATGCACATTGATTTCTCAGCCCTCAGACCCTGTCCTTGCCAGTATTTCGGAGTCCGGAACACATGGCCCACGCGTGAGCAGGGCACGTGTTCGATGGCACCACCACACATCCAGGTCCGAAAACTGATCCTCGAAGTTTTGAGGGCTTAAAAGGGATTGAGCCCTAATCCCTAAACCCTAAACCGTTAAACACGAAACCCTAAACCCTTAAACCCTAAACCCTAAACCCTGTTAGCAGAGTTTTCAGGGGTTCTTGCTTTGGGATTCGGGTCTTCAGGTGCGGGGCTGACCTAGACTCTCAGTTCCCACTTTGATTCCCTCCTTGCCGAATTAACTTGCAGAGCTTGCTAATAGAGGGGCATTGCTAATTAGAATAGGGTTTGGGGGGGTATGTTATACGATAATATAATAAGGAGACCCCCAAATAGCCTAGGTAATTAGTAAAGCCCCTACATTAACCCTGAGTGCCCACCTAGTCCTGATTCGTGGTTCTTGGGATGCAATGGCTACTTGGAGCTTCTCGCGGACATGTTGAAAGCTGCTTGACAGTCATAGAGCCTTGTTTCTGGCCCTGTGTGAGGACCACAGCCAAGTAAGGCTATGCTGTCGAAAGCTCGCTATCGTCAGTGCCTCAAACGCAAATATTTCACCGCTGGACGGAGCTCGAGAACCCTCATCCTCACACAACAGACATGGTGGGAGACTCTAGTCTTGTACGAACGACTCGATGCTAGAAACCTGTATGAAGCAACTCCTCCAGCAAATACAAAGGGATTTAGGGTGTAGGGTTTTGAAGCAAATCCTCCGGCAAATATGAATAGGTGCAATTTCTTAAACTTTGTTTATTGACTATTGCTGCTAATTGTTTTGGCCCGGGGCAGAGCACCTTCGAAAGCATTTATTTTCAAACCAGAAAATCCTCTAAGACAAGCCTTTAGTGTTTACGGTTTAGGGCCAAACAAACAACACGATGAATAGCCACCCGATAGAGTAATCCAAAGTGCTCCATCTCCTCACCACCATAGAGGCGCATCTCCTGCCCGAGAGTCGCAGTTCATCCCATATCCCGTAATCAACGAGCATGCCGATTTTGCAAAATGTCTTGATTCGGGAATGGAACCTAAATTATAGCAGGATCCTTCATTCATCATTTAAGAGTACAGCTTGTTTGATGGATGCTGGTAAAGGTTAGGGTTTAGAGATTAAGGCTTCAGGCCAAGGGATTAGGGTTCAGCGTTTAGGGTGTAAGTTTTAGGGGTTTCGGGCGTTGAGGTTTCTAAGGTTTGGGGTTGAAGGATCAAGGTTTAGAGTGTAAGGTTGAGAGTTTAAGGTTCAAGGCACAGCAAATGCCGTGGGCAGAGGTTGCAACCCACACCCCCCCTTGCCAAATTCTGCCAAAAACACTGTTAACCCACAAGCCCCTATATGCTCGAACTGTGGTAGATACAGCTTCGCCTGGTCGTAGCCTCCAAGCATCAAGAACCTTGGCATCCAACAGCTCTACTCACTTTGAACGGCCAACCAACCTCAAGATGTCAGGTTGCAAGAACACACGGGAGATCTCTACTACATATGCATGCAGTCGAAAATCATGAAGCCAATCTCTGATGATCCCGTGTGCATGAGCCCGAGTACACACACGTTTCAAGCATGGTCGTGCACGCATACCTGCAGACTTCTCCGTCTGCCCGCCAGCATGCCTGCAGGCCTGCCGGCTGCCCTGCCGACTTGCGTAGATGTACAGGCGCATACGTGTACGCATCTGTTGACATATGTGCATGCATGCATGTAAGTTATGTACGACACATGTTGGTCTAGAAACTGTACATACACACAAACAAATCATTCTCTATCTGGTATGCTCCTTCAGTCTCTGTCTGTATATACATACATACATACGTACATACATACAGACATACAAGCAAACAGACTTGAAGCCCAAAGCCCAGGCTGTGCGGCCCAGTCGCTCTTTGCGATCTGCTGCGAAGAGTCCTCCTGGCATGATTGGAGACGGCGCCGGTTGGGTGCCGTCCTGCGGCTTCGGGGTCTGATTTGGCCACAGGGTCCTATGTACTGTCATGGGGGATACTTCCCTAAACCATACGGTTGATGATATAAATCCTGCAGTACCCATAATAAGGAATATACCATAATTGCCATAGTTTAGGGTTGTCAAGGTAATGCAGAATTTTATATCATCAACAGTAGTAGTAATTCCTGATATAGAAGCCCTACAGCATCTTCCCATCCTCTCAACTCTCCTTCCCAGACATGTCGCGCAAATTGTAGTAGCTGCGGGAACTTGGGTTCCCGGCTTGGGATGTCAGATACTTCTTTGGAGAAACCGGCTGAGACTGGCGAGGTGCCAAGCTTCTGTGAGGTTTAGGGTTTAGGTCGGTGTTTCTAAGGTCTTGAGATCAACATGGGTAGTTCTCTAAAGTGTGGTCCCCTTTCCTTGTTTATGGGGTGCCGTACCGTGGTGGGGACCCCGACTTAGAGAACTACCCACATGAAAGGTGATGAGCAAACACGAAGTTGGCTGATCTGGTCTTAGCAGAACCTGAAACGTCACCACGCTCCTGCACACCCCAAAGCAACAAAGCCCTTGCTCCAAAGCTCCCATGACCCCAAACTCTAAACTCCAAGCACGAAGCTCTGAAACCCCGTTCTGGAACCCTTATGACCTCAAACTCTAACTAAACCCTACACTCTAAAAACCCTAAACCCTAAAACCCGAAACCGCCTAAACCTAAACCCTCAAACACCAAACCCCTAAACTCTAAACCCTAAACGCCTAAACCCTAAAACCCCGAAGCTCTAAACTCTAAAACCCTAAACCCTTACAACCCCACACAGCCCGGAACCCTCCTCCCTCTGCCGATCCTGGCCGTAGTCTGCTACCGGCCATTGCCGCTGTCCGAGGCTCCAGGAGAAGCCTCGGGGACTGCCGATGTAGAGTTTGGGATTCAGAGTTTTGGGTTTAGGGTTCTGGGTTTATGGTCTGGGATTTAGGGTTTGGGGTTTAGGGTTCAGGGTTTAGGGTTTGGGATTTAGGGTTTAGGGTTTGGGATTTCGGGATCTAGGGTTTGGGAGTTAGTGTTCAGGATTTCAGGTGGAGAATACCGCAGAAAAAACACAAGAAGGGCCCGATAAGAAGTCTCAACCATTCCATCAGAAGGCACACTGGGGCTCTTCCCTCCAAACCCCAAAAGCCTAAATGCATCTATTAACAAGTCTCCTTTTCGGGTTCTGTAATAGGGTTTCTTCAGGTCCCATCAGGGTCCTGTATGTACTATGTTTCAGGAATGTGCGGCTTGGGGTGTAGAGGTTGAAGTTGGGGGTTTTAGGGTTACAAACGGGGTTAGGTAGCAGGAAAATGAAGGATGACAATAAGTACGACAGTAATAGTGATAACTAGCAACCGTGGCAACATTGAAGATTATGATGCTGGTCATTTGTAGACGAGAAATCGTTGTACGCCGAACACGAGGATGAAGCACAGGAATCACGAAGCACGTGGGTACCGCAGATAATAATCCGACGAAGTAATCCGACGATGGAGGCAGTGGGGAGTTTGCGGAACAAACTGGCCGTGAGAGAAGAGGACCAAGGAGCCGGACAACCAGCGCAGGAACTGAATGGAAGTGATTTATGGTTTTTTGAAAACACTGAAGATATGGGAGTTTCCGAAAATTAGGGGTACCTTATTTTGGGGTCCTAATAATAAGGATCCTACTAGTAGGGGTACTATTTTAGGGTCCCCTATTTTCGGAAACCCCCATGTGCTGCTGAACTTCAGGGAGATGATACGTTGCACAGTCACAGTCCTGGTAATCAGGGTGATCATGATGATGAAGGCAATCACTTACTACCGGTGCTCGTGGTGATGAGCATGCAGGATTGCTGATCTTACTCGCGTCATCGCTGCTGTCATTGCTCTTGCTGTCATGAATGGACTCGTTGTGCTTGCAGTAACGACACGTTTATGCCCGCTACACCATCTGACAACCATGTGTTTACTGACCCTAAGGGTCCATGTACCCAAATAGTATATACTTTGGCCTTAAAGTAGTCCCTATATAGGTACTTTGGGGCCAAAGTATATACTATTTGGGTACATGGACCCTTAGGGTGAGATGTAGAAGCACAGCCAAGCCGCCGAGGACGCCGATACCGCTGCGCTCTGTGGACGAATACTCAAAAGTCTCCTTGGCTTGCATCCGAATCTGGAGTCTGGAGTGTTAGGGTTTAGGGTTTAGGGTATAGGAGTTTAGGAGTTTAGGGTTTAGGACGTTTAGGAGTTTAGGGTTTAGGGTTTAGGGGTTTAGGGGTTCAGGGTTTAGGAGCTTAGGGTTTAGGGGTTTAGGAGTTTAGGGGTTTAGGGTTTAGGGTTTAGGGCTTCGGGCCTGTGGTGCTGTCCATGGTCAGGTTGTGCATGGCCAGCTCACACTGGGCATCCACGGTGTAGCGCTCGGCTGTCCGGGGCTCGGGCCTGAGGACGATCTCTGAGTCAAGCGACCAACGCCGGCTCGGGTAGGAGAAAGGCGTGGGCGTCACCACCCCACCGCCACATTGGCAGCAGGCCTCCTTGCTAGACTGGCCCCTCACCTTCACATCACTGCACTCGGAGGCCTCAAGCTGAAAGCAGGACTTGCCATCCTGGCTCAGCCAGGCACCGGCACTCGTGCAGGCTGTGCACGCACCGTCCCGAAGCAAGAAGCCTTCCGCACAACTCTGGCACTTGCCCTGGGAGTAGGAGGAGCAACCGGCACATGCTCTGCTGGAGACGGGACAGCAGCTCTGAGCCACGCCAGTCACCGAGAAGTCCAGCAGAGCCACTTCCTCAACGCCACACGCCGTCTTTGAGGCCTTCTGCCTTGATCCGGTTTGCGGTAGGGCCTTGGTAGAGCTCGCAGCCGGCGTGTGGCCTCCACGGATTGCACACAATTCCAGCAACCTACGTAGGTTTCCCCTGGTCGTTCAGCGGACTCCCCAACAAACGGTCTGTCTCTTGGAGGCTTTGGGCTCTCGGGTATGAAGTTGTTGCGGGTGTCTTCTATGGCTTGATTCCAATTTGGCCCTCAGTCAGCGACCTGTCTCACTCTTCACGAAGCTCCCCGTTCGCTTGCACTGGCCACGAAGCTCGGAGCTCTCGTTGTGGAACTGCTCGAGCAAGGCGGACATGGTGGGGCTGAAAAGAGGGCCGAGCCCAGACGCAGCCGAATCCACACCGCTGGTGCGTAGCCGTCCGACTTCCTCCTTAAGGCTTGCATCCTCCTCCTTCAAGTCTGCAAGCTCCCTCCTGGAGTCTTGGAGCTCCTTCTGCAAGCTCAGGTCCCTCTTCTCCAAGCGAGAGACCCCCTCCTCCAGGCGCTCCACGACGCCCAGCACGCTCCTCAGCGTCGCCTCGCTCGCCTCGCTGCTCGCCTGGCGCCGGGCCTGCAGCAACGGGTTTAGGGTTTAGGGTT